AATCTTTGGTAAATACATTCCAATCAATATCTAAAAATACATTCACAGATGTCTGACACTTCCTTTCTATATCGGATACGCGATTAGATTGTTTCGCTAATGCGTTTCAGGATATCTATGCTACTTATGTATATCAGCGAGTGGTATATAAAGGTTAATAAAGAAGGTAGCTAGGTTACCTTTCAACCAATAGTATACTAATTGGCTGAAATTACTACCAATAGTAGTAATTTCAGCCAATGTACAACTGGTTTAGATTTTAGTTTTTTTTTTTTAGATTTTAAGTTTTTCTTAAAATTTTATTAATGTTATTGTTTTTTACAGGAAAGACCGTAATATAATATTGTTTTATTCTTATTCTAATGGTAATCATTTGATGACCCTTCTCAGTGGCGTAACTCTTCCCGCTCGAACTCAGTATGGTTTTCACTGTAATCTTAAATTATAAACCTCAATTTCAAATCATTACTCAACCCAACCTTTAGTAATAATTTATTCTACTCAAGTACAGACATTCTTGGACAATACAAATAAAAAATCTCTCTCTTGACTGTTGGATTTCATAAACAACACAAGCTTTTTTCGCATCTCTCTTTGATTTTTGTTTGTCAATAGAACATACATTGCTTATCACCTCTCTTAAATTGGTTCCCGTATCCCTCTCTTAATAAAGAGATACGAAGAAATAGTACCGTGGATACAGTGAAAAAATGCCGTGAATGCGTTATACACAAACACCGCTAATCCACTAAAGACAATTTATTAGAACTCGTACGAAAAGCAACCCCGTGTGGTTACCACGAAAAAAATCCTGCTGTGACAACCGAAAACTACTTTTATGAATATTGCGCGTGTACCTACCTATATAACAGTAATATTGGTAAGATTTTCTATAAACTTGATTTATCCATTGTCTGTATTCCATTTAATTATTCTCTTTTAATTATTTTACACCTTACTTACGATACAAATCCCTAAACTATAAAAATATTTTAATGATTTCGCATATTTACATGTCTTAATTGTACACCATGGATATGCACATGGAATGTACGAACCCTTTATGCCCCAGGTGCTCTTAGACTGCTAACACAAGAACTTGATAAAATGAAAGCCGATGTAGTAGCGATTCAAGAGATGAGATGGATGGTTCAGAAATTATCGAGAAAAGAGACTACAATATATGCTATAGCGGGCGTAGCACCCGACACGAGTTTGGCGGTGGTTTTCTAGTCAGTAAAAAAGCAAAGCAATTAGTCCTTAACTTTAAACCCATAAACAAGAGAATATGTTATATACGTCTTAAAGGAAAATTCTTTAATTATAGCTTACTTAGTGTACACGCACCTACGGAAGAAAAGGAGAATAATGAAAAAGATGAATTCTAAGACACCTTAGACAAAGAGTATGATCGATGTCCTTGCTATGACGTGAAAATCATTGCTGGGGACCTGACTGAAAAAATTGGCAAAGAGCAATTTTTCTCACTCTCTCGATCTCATAGACGTCAGAAGCTACCGAGGCCCAAACAATGACAGTGACCACTTTCTTGTAATGGCAAAAATCAGAGGAATAATATCAAACCTAAAGAAAGATAAACACACGAAACAAGACAAAATTAATGTTGATAATCTGCGCATTAAAACCGTTGCGAGAGAGTATAGGAGACAAGTGGACGAGGAAATGAAGAGCCTGGAGGTCGGGGAAAATGTAGAGGAACTGTGGATAAAATGTAAAAACATAATAACTGAGAAAGCAACAAAAATATTGGGGAAAAACAAACCAGTTAAAGAAAACGAATGGTTTGACAAGGAGTGCCAAGAAACAATAGATAACAAAAACAGGGCATACCTAAAGACAAATCAAGCTGGATGCACAAGAAGGGCAAAGAAAGAATACCGGACCCTAAGAAGAAAAGAAAAACGATTACATAGAAGAAAAAAAGACAATTTGAGCAAAATCAGTTGGAAAGCACAGAATGGCTAAGAAATCAAAATGAAACTCGAAAGTTCTACAGAAATCTAAACAAAATGGGCAAAGAGTTTAAGCCAAGAATAAGGAGCTGTAAGGATGTAGAAGGAAACATACTAAATGATACGGGCTCAATCCTAAACAGATGGGTTGAATTTTTCGATGCAAAATTTAATGGCCATCATATCGAAGAAGCAGATAACACCCTAGCAAATCGAAATGATTGGAATTCTTTCAACAAAAACGAAAGACCATTTACCATCGAAAACGTTGCCCGAGCCATTAAAAAGCTTAAAAATAATAAATTACCAGGAATTGTTCAAATTTGCAGTGAGCTCTACAAGAATGCTGGCGATGCCCTACTACAGACACTGCATAAGCTTTTACTTGTTGTTTGGCATAATGAGACCATGCCTTATGAATGGTTTCAGGCGTGATATGCCCGTTACATAAAAAAGGTGACCAGCTCCAGAGTGTAAAAAAGGAGTCCAGCTCCAACTATAGAGGTATAATCCTGTTAACAACTACTTACAAAATACTAGCAAATATTTTCTACGAAACGCTGCAAGTTTACACAGTGGGCATAGATGGTAAATGTCAAGCAGGATTCACTCCAAAAAAATCATCAGTTGACCAGATTCATTCAATAAGACAGATTCTCGAGAAAACATTAGAATTCAATATTGAAACCCATCACCTATTCGTCGACTTCAAGCCCACATACGACAGTGTCAAGAGAACAGTGCTCTACCAATTAATGCATGAGTTTGGTATACCAGAGAAACTTATCCGACTAACGAGAATGACAATGTCTAACTTAGATGCCACTATTAGAATACAGGGAAAAATTTCTAGATCCTTTGAGATAAAGGATGGACTCAGACAAGGGGATGCTCTGGCTTGCCTCCTATTTAATATTGCCTTAGAAAAGGCAGTCCGAGATATACGAATTAGGGATGGCAGTACTATTAACAATAGATCGATACAAGTCTTAGCATATGCTGATGACATTGACATAATACGGCGTAGAAACAGGTCGGTTTAGTCATTAACGAAGACACAACCACGTACATGTTGGTTACAAAGAATCCGATTGCAAATGAGGAACAAGAAACAGTCTTTGGAAGTCATACCTTTGGACGTATTGACAACTTCACATACCTTGCGAAGCGAAGAAATCAAAAGACGAATAAATCTTACAAATAGGGCATACTATGGACTCCAAAAGCATTTCCACTCAAGAAACATTCAAAGAAGAACTAAAATTATTATATACAAAACATTACTGCCAGTCCTCACATATGGAGCAGAAACATGGACTCTAACGCAGAAAGATGAAAAACTTTTGGGAACATTTGAGCGTAAAATACTCCGCAAAATATTTGGAGCTATAAACGACCAAGGACAGTGGCGCCGAAGATATAATTTTGAATTGTATCAGCTCTGATAACAGATGATAACAGATGTCATAACGTTCATTAAAACACAGCGACTTAGATGGGCTAGATACACCTGTAGGAAGAAGAAGCAAAGGCCGACCGCAAATTAGGTGGTTAAATGAAGTTGAAACCGACTTACGGATATTAAAAATCAGAAGATGGCAACATGTTGCCAGAAACCGAACAGAATGGCGATGAATCTTAGAGCAGGCCAAGATCCATAGAGGATTGTGAGCCAAAGATGATAATGAATTGTACACCACTTCGTAATCTGCTGTTAATTGAAAAGTATTAGGAGCCACTACGTTTTAATATTAGCAAACTTGAGCAAACAGTGCACTTTAATCTTGATTATCAGATTGTTTGTGTCAAAAGTAGATACAACTTCGTTTCGGTCTCCCATAAATATGTTGATGTACGATTTTATAAGATTTTGACTTTCTGATTATCAGAATAGACCAGGTCAATATATTTCCCTGTGCTAGTGGAGATTGATGTAAACACCTGTTTTTTGTTGTACTCCATTGATTCTTTATTTAAATCAATCATAATTGAACTTTGATAAATTAAAAGGCAGATATCGAGCACCGTTTTATTAATTAAATCTTGCCCAAGTACTTTCGCTTCGTAGAACATCTTCACGGGAATTTCGTCAATTTTGGGCTATCCAACAAGTGCAGAATGTCATAAACATAAAATTAAACATAAAATTGTACAAACCACTATACAAAACACGGACAAACAGTTTAAAATTATTTAAAAAAATTTGATCGAAGCTACATTTTGGTCGGTAACAGGAAAGAGGATGATATCATTTTTTCTCCTTTTGCCGACCAGAATGTAGCTTGGACCAAATTTTTTATTTTTTTTTTTAAATAATTTTAAACTATTTGTCCTTGTTTAGTGTAGTGTTATGTACAATTTTATGTTTAATTATATTTTTAGGACAATCTGCACTTGTTGGACAGTCCAACATTGACGAAAGGCTCTTAAAGGTGCTCTAGGAAGAGAAAGTACTTGGGCAAGATTTAATTAATAAAACGGTGCTCGATACCTGCCTTTCATTTTATTAAAGTTCATTTATTCGATCATTCAACCTTATATCAATCAATCATAATTGTCTATTTGACATATTTGACTGGTACAAATCCATATACATATATATATATATATATATATATATATATATATATATATATATATATATATATATATATATATATATATATCCTGTTTTACAAGGTTGGTGTACCTAACATTTCTACTGATGACTGCACATGGACTACGTGAATATTACGATTGTTATCAAAATTGTATGGTATTGGTATTCCATTACAATATACATATACATTACATTTTTGTTTATCTATTTACAAAGTAATGTATAGCAGAATGCTTGGCTGATAAAGTATTATTTTTTGTCAAGATTCGATTATATCTTATATTTAAAATATTTTTTATGTCATAAGTATAAATAAACATAATAGAAATATTTAGGATGATTTTTTATTAATCGCTTAATTTTATACTATACTGTATGACCGATGTTTGCGTACTCTGGTCCAACGTGATATCCTAACTTGGTTCAAGATGCTTAAAAAACTGAACACGGCCAAATCTCATTTGAACTGCGAAGAACTTTATCAAAAACGAGTTGGTAAGTTTCAATTTACTTTTGTACTGTTACTGTCAATTTACAATGATTTCTTTAAACTTGCTGACTATGTCTAAAATATATCGCTCATCGGCTTAAATACTGCCATAACCCCGAAAAACGCAATAAAGTTTGCTATTTTCTTTTAATTGTTAATTTCGCGCTCTCACAACTTACCATAGCAAATTTTTGTCTGCGGTTTTATTCAAGGCTGTTATACATTGCTATATTGACAATGGGATGTACAAGTAATGGGGCGCTCCGCTGTCACCACTGTACAAGTCGGGGGTGTAGATTCTCGTTTTTTGTATACCCTATTGTAAAATCTGGAACTAGAGGGTGAGAAAATCTTCACCACTGTACAACGCTGTCACCACTGGAACATCCTCGATATGAACCTTAAGGATGCTTATCCCTGCGAGCGGCTGCAAGGCTTACTGGTCCCACTAGTCTGAACTGGCTGGCTCGCCTTCGTGGATTTACGAGAAGGTAGAGAATTTCGGGATAGGGATTTAAGGACTTCTAGGTCTCAGGTCCTGTAAAGAGTTTGAGTCTATGGGCTTACTTTAGAAGCCGGATAAATGTATAAGCAGAAATTTGGTACTCTTCTGGTCTCTGTCTGAATCGGCCGGAAGGAACATAAAAACCAAATTTAGAGTCTACAAATGTATTGAATATACTATGTGGTTTACAATTAAGTTAACAAGCTGTCAGATATAATCAATAATAACTCGTTCGGCGCGAAGGGAGACGAGAAGAGATCTTAGCAAGAAAGTAAAGGGGTGACAATCTGTACTACTATAATTTACTCGGGTTAGTATATAGAATTTTGTTACCTTTCGCGTATTTAGGCTCTAGCTAATGATACGCCCTTCAGTTCCTCTGGAAATCGAATTCAGTTGTGGAGGTACCGCGCTCTGTCGCGATTTTCGAACTCCCAGTACCCGACACTTATACGGAACTATATCCCGTCGAAATATAACAATCGCGCGTAATCCGCACCTGGTGTCGCCTCTCGTCTTGACAGCCCTGCCCGAAGATACTGACTGACCCCGCTGGCAATTACTGCCTCGGGCAGTCACGGCTGCCCAGCTACTACTGACTCCTCTGGCCCCTTCGTTCTTTGTTTTTATTGAGCTCGTATTCTCAAATGCCGATTGTAGTACCAAGGTCGAGTTTTTGCTGAGTCCTCGTGATTTAAACCAGGTCGGCGCTGGTGATATTTTCCAGCGTAGGTCTATGTTTATTAAAACGTGACTATTTTCTTTTTTGAACAATTGTTGCAACTGATATTGGCTCGTGTCATGCAACTAACTGGGTCAAATTGTTTTTCTTTGTATAATTTAAAATGTATACGTTACTGTATCGAATTTATTCTTTATTTAATTTGGAATATATAATAATTACTAAAATGATTATTATTCTCCCTTATGCTACTAGCCCGTATTTTTTTCTATTCTTTATTTTCTTGCTATGTTTACATTACAGGGACAATAGCGTTAAAGAATTTTCTAAAAAAATATATTTTTGTGGGTTACGACACTATTGTCCAATGTGTTTTCTCCTAAAAATTGGTATAGGATATCAAGTAATGTAAAATAAAAAATATATTTTTTTTAATAGTGAAATTTATTCTTTTAATAACTACAAGGAACAAAGGGCAATATAACGACTTAAGGAAACGACTATTTTACAATTTCCTTTAAGTTTCAAACATTGATTCGAAAACTGGCTCATAGGTCAAAGGTATTGGACGTGCCTTATATATCTTATATATTTTATCTTATTAGCATCAATAGACATTCTTTTTTTGTAGGCTGACAGTAAATTGGGAATTTTCGAGGGGACCTTATTGGCTGTGTGACGGAAAGTAACTTTTTGCATTTCGTCTTCGTTGCTTGTGTTCAAGTAAAAAGAATTAGGTCGAGATTTCTCAAACCTCATCATTTTAATTTAAATTTTTTTTTGTGCTTTTGGTCTGATTGATCGATCTTAAAATTTGATCCCAGCTGCTTCTGAAGACTTTTGACATCTAGAAAGTCTTTAAGAGATAGTTCATTAATAGTGAACTCTTTCCCTCGTTTTGTTGATGTCCTTAAATTGTGCCATATTGTTGTAGTATTAAGATGTGTCCACTTTTCAAGGTCTTCTTAATTGGCGTTTTAATGACAGTATGAGCAGCGTCCCCCTAATTTTGTGTGATAAACAATCAAAAAATTATAATTGATTGCCTTAATATTGAGAGTTCTTACTGTATAAGCATACATTGATATTATGTACCTGTTCTGGTTTTGGTCACAACAATTATCAGAGTACAAAGTTACTTTTTAATTATCATTATCTACCTCTTTTAACAACTTTGTTAGATATTGTTCTGAAGCTATTTTCTTGTGGCATTTTAAATTAATTGCTATTTAACTGGGAATAAGCCACAATTAAAGATAAAAATACGTTTATTGACGTTTCAATTTCCACTTCGGAAATCGTTCTCAAATACAAACAGTGAACGATTTCCGAAGTGGAAATTGAAACGTCAATAAACGTATTTTTATCTTTAATTATGGCTTATTCCCAGTTAAATAGCAATTAAATTTGTTAGATAATTAAAAATACAAGATGCTATTTTGTTAGCACCTTGCATGCCCTCGCCTTGGTGCCAACAGTAACAAGTTGTGTTTGAATTAATGATATTAGTTACAGTGAAATTGTAACAATTAAGTTTTGACTTATAGTAAAAAGAGAAACATTGCCAATGGGACATGGCATAACCTTTTGTAAGTCAAAGCAGCAGACATAGTGAAGCGGATTTTCCTTCGCTTTGTTCTTATCTAACTCTTTGGCAATCCTACTCAGCACTTTTTCCTTATAATGGTTTTCATAATCTTCTTAAATCTCTTGGTCATTTGGGTCATTTTGGAGAGTTTCACACACATTACATTGGTCTTTTTTTAAGATGAAAAACGAAATGTTAAATTTACTCCGAAATATTCGAGAAAAAGCAACCAAGAAGGCAGCTTCTTCCCCTTCTTTTTTTGATTCATAGAATAGTCACGGTAAATGTCAGCTAAGCTTTTGCCACCATCTATAAATTCTCGGTAGACTTTGCCCTGGTATAGTGACTCTCGATTCTTGGTATCTTCTTTATGAAATCACGTACAGAATCTTTAACTTTCGGGCTAAAAATTTTATGTTTGCCATGTCTACCCCTTCCTTCTGGCTGCAGAAAGCCCATATTGTTTGTTTTTTTACCTGAGTATTCATGTAGAGAAGCCTACAAACTCTAATCTTTACCCCTGCTACTTGAAACTGAAAGGAATTGTGGGCATGCCTTGATTTTTCCTTGTTCGTGAACCGGACTTTTAAGACAATTTGATCCATAGAACTGGAAATATAGTTTCATTGTGCTTGCAAGCATCTGATATCCCAGTAATTTTGAAAAACATTGTGTCTATCGTTATGGCTAATGCAAAATGATTAATTAAATTTGCAGTTTTCTAGACATGCAGGCTGCATTTTTTTTGTTGTTTTGTACAACTTTTCTGCTCAGTCTAGACAAGACTTATGGTTTTGTCTTTGTACATTTCATAGGAGAGTCAATTATTAGTTTGACAGAAGGGTCGGTGGTAAATCTTCTTTGACCAATCTCACTGTCAGGAATATAATTAGGAGTTGGATCTTGGACTATGCTTTCCCCAGATTGGGATAGAAAAGATGAAAAAGGCTTAATATACCATTGAATAACAGCCGTAGTTTCGTTACAGTCATTGTTTTCAGACTTATCAATATGATTTGCTTCAATATGGGAAGTTGTTGGCACACACGCTTTGAAAGAATAACACTTTCTGAGGGAAAGGGCGCTACATTCTCCAAATTGGCATAGGTTACAGAAGAACTATTTAAGGTATCAGTCTCGTTACGGTTCATTAGGTACTTATCGTTCTCTTGAATTAGGCTCTCTCCCGATCGCAGAAGAAATAATGGTTCAGCATGCTGTGTTACAGCCACGTCTTTTAGACACTCGATGTATTCAGGTCCTGCTTCATCGGAGATGATCACTTTCAACCCTTAGAAGCAAAACATAATAATTAATGATTACGTTATACATTTAGGTCTAAAAAGATTTCTGTAGCATTTGCTCGTGTAGCAAGCTCACAATTAGAAGAAAGGCTAGGTAGATTAACTAGCTACTTGCAGACTTACTTGAAGGGGAAAGTGGTGGCTCGTCTTTTTTCTGTTTCACTATTTCGTAGGCAGCAGCTGCGTCTTTTCTCGATAGTTTAAGCATTAATGCACCCCTTGAGTTCATTGGTATGGTTATAGGCTTATGCTGATGCATCTTTAAAAAATAGGAATTGATCTGCTAGGCTACTCCAAGCACCAAGTCGATGTCAAAGCCAAATACACAATCTGAAATAAACAATAAAATAATTCTATGTCAAGGTAGAATGAGTAATAATAGTCTGGTTTTTACAAACAATGATAAAGTCACATCACCCTGTTGAGGCAGTTATTATCAAATTAATTACCAAAATTGATCATAAATAATGTCACAACACAACTGTTAACACTATTGTGGCAACCTTGCTACATAGAATCCAGTCACATCAGTCTACAACAGTGCCATATCATAAAATATGACACTGTTTAAAAAACTTGCCATTTTTTGCAATAATTCGGACCACAACAGTGCCGTAACAAACTTAAGGCAATATTAATGTTCCATTTCGTGTATTTTTATTGATACTAACACCATATCAATAACGCATCATTACATAATAAGGCAATATTTATGAACGAAAACAGCTTACCATTGACGGACAGCAGGGTTATGGCACTATTTTACTCTCCGTGTGCATCCTCACTTTTGTCGTGGTCACGGACAAACTAGCTTGTGGCAGTTTAGCAGACTGGGTTTCAACAGAAAATGCTCGAGGCCATAACGACACAATGCGCTCCAGGTGGTTATTTGTGACACTACAGTTACAACGTTAATGCTGTTCGAA